CACTTCCATGTCCACAGGTGTACAAAATCAAGCAGCCAGGCATGGACACGCTTCTGGGTTTGCTCTCAGGAGATCAGTTAATTCCAGCGTGGTACTGTGATAGGATGCCACCTGTGAAACAAGTCCAGTTGTGGAATTTCCTTTCTAGTAAATATTCCGCAGCCAAGTGTTAGTGATATTATAAAAAAGTGGAAGTGAGTGAGAACGAGAGTAAATGAGCCACAAAGTGATAGGTCATGGAAGATCAGAGAGCAGGGTCAGTGGAAGATGAGGCACATAGTTTGAAAAATTCACGTTTTTGACCATTTCATGCTCCCAGCTTTGTTAGAACAGTTTGGGGATGGCCCAGTACTGTTCCAACATGCCTGGACACATGTGCACAAAGACATGGATGAGCAGGTTTGGTGTGGAAAAACTTGACTGGCCTGCGCCAACCTGACAGAACACCTTTGGAAGGAGTTAGAGTGGCGGCTGTGAGACAGGCCTTCCCGTCAATCAGTGTCTGACCTCAAATGTGGTTTTGGAAGAATGATCAAAAATTTGCATAAAAAGACTTCTAAACCTTGTGGAAATCCTCCCCAGAAGCGTTAAAGCTATTCTAGCTGCAAAGGGTGGGCTGACAACATATTAAACTCTATGAATTAAGAGTGGGACGTCACTTAAGCCCATTGTATGTGAAGGCAGACAGCAAGCATCCAAAGCTCAGCTCGACTGGTATGGTCAAATGTAATACCATATAGAGCATCTGCAAGAATTGCCATGTGCTATAACAAACTCCTGGATGTGGAGTCAACAAGTTGTATCATTGCATCTCCTAGCAGAATGAATTTCCCTCTTTTCTTTGTTTTTCAGAGATCTAAGTGAAAATGCCATCCAAGCCATCCCGAGGAGAGCTTTCAGAGGCGCAACAGACCTTAAAAACCTGTAAGTGAAGATAAAGTGTTAAAAGAATGGGTGCAGTGGTGATAACGGTGCAATTTGCTACTGTCAAGAAATATCACGTCCGTAATTAGAAGACTGAGTAGTCGGCTGGACCGAGCCATTAACTAAATCTACATCATATTGGCTTTGTGTTTTTTTTTTATTATCAGTCAGCTGGATAAAAACCATATCAGCTGTATTGAAGAGGGGGCGTTCAGAGCTTTGCGATCTCTAGAAGTCCTGTGAGTAATCTAAGAAAAATCATTTCTTTGATGCTCTTCTCAAAACAACTTAATCTCTCATAAAAAACCTCCTTTGTTTTCTTCTGCTCTCTTCATCTTTTCTACTGCCATCATTTTTCCACTGGCTTCTCTGCCTTTCAACTCTCTCTTGCTTTTTATTGTTCCATCTCTTTGTTCTCTCACCCGTCCTTTCTGTCCTTGCTGTTATATTTAGTGTTGCCTCTTCTTCTCGTCATTGCTAATTTCTCTCCTATTTTTTCTGCTAGCACACTGAACAACAACAACATCAGCAGCATTCCAGTCTCCAGTTTCAATCACATGCCAAAGCTCCGCACCTTGTAAGTGCCTCACCTTTTTCAACTTTTTTACCCAGAATGCCACATTGTTACGTCTGATTTTATCTCTGTCTGTGTATCTGTCACCTTATGTTTTACCCTCCACTACTTCTCAAATGTATTTTCCTCCCCTCAGTCGTCTCCACTCTAACTCTCTGCGCTGCGACTGTCATCTGGCTTGGTTGTCTCCATGGCTACGGCAGCGGCCAGCTTTGGGCCTCTACACTCAGTGTAGCTCTCCTCCCACACTGAGGGGCCTCAACCTGGCCGAGCTGCGTAAAAGTGACTTTGCCTGCTCAGGTACAAGAGCCCGGCGATACATGAGGCTTTGATCCAAATGCGGATGATGATGCAATGTGTGAGAAAAGTTTTTCTTCCTTGTTTTTAGGTCACAGTGGCAGTGCCTTCGTTCAGCCATGTAGTTTAGCATCTGGGTCCTGTCCTCCAATGTGCTCCTGCAGCAACAACATCGTGGACTGCCGTGGGAGGGGCCTAACTGCAATCCCTGCCCACCTCCCTGAGGGTATGACTGAGATGTGAGTATCCCACAAGAATTATATATAATGATATATGAATGACAAATTCTGTTATTTTGTAGCTTTATAGTTTGCTTTCAGAACTCAGACAAAACCTACCAGCATAAAGTAGGTTTCTTACAAGCAAAATTGTGAACCATGTAAAGCTGCTCCAGAGGGGTGAAAGTCCCCACAGGTTTATTAGATGGAAAGAAATACTACAGTACATGTACTTACTCTATGCCATGTAAAGGAAGAAATGTTACTTATGTCATTTCGCTGCTTCATCACATGCTTTCCGGTCACTTTTCATATATCCAACATGGAAAAGTGGTTTTTCGGATGCTTAACCACACTCTCTCTCAGTTCTGCTGCTCCTCTGCCAGTAGCTAGAATGCAGCAGCGTGACAGGCACAGTTGACGATAACTTGGACAAATCTTATAGATAGATTTTACAGGCCATTACATGTACTTTACGTCTCTGCCAATACATCAAATGTTCTGATGTGCAATCCACCATTAAAGGATGTGATTGTCCTCACTGCAGCAAAGAGATATAAACTCATGTTTCCTGGTAGAGAAGGAAACCGTTATAACGTGGAATCATTTTGAGTTGCATTCTACTCTGCTAAAAGTTTGAAAAGCTTACACAAATTCACACCAGGCCTGAATACAGACGTCTACAGAAAAAACTACAGAATTCTGGGCAGTCATGGTTAAACAATTAGCTCCATATTTATGTTATTATTTAGGCACCCGGTTTTCAAAGCCTCACTGCAATGATTCAATTCTAGTACTTTGCAATCTTTCTAAAGAACTGCACATCTCAAGGCAGCGTGAAATTGTCAATGTTCGTGTCCGTTTGTCACGCAGACATGCATGACAAACGTCAGCAAAACAGTTTGATATGAACTGTGGTAACAAATACTGCAACACTGGCCCTGAAGCTGTGTCTGCACAGGAAGCTATTTGCATGATGTGACCACCAAAGAACACAGAACGTCAATGACATTATACATTGACAAAAAAAAAAGCATTGGCAATGCAAAGTGCACACAATAGCACTGTATGACATATGACCTGGTAGTAAATACAAAAGCAGGTTGCCTTGGCATCCACACCCTTAATCATCTACTGGCCACGAACCATCAGCAACAAAGCGATCCTCAATGAACAAATTGCTTCCTGTGTGAATGCAGCTTTAGTAACCAGCTCGAGTTCTGCATACATGTTTTAATAATTTCATATTAAATGTTTTTTTATGCTACCTTTCTCACAATTTTGGTTTTCATTCATTGCTTAAATTTAAGAAAATGTCATGGCTTGCAATTACAGAAAAAGAGCATGTCGTTCTCATGTAAATGAAAAAGAAATCATATATCGTCCCTATTTCACAATTAACAACAGAACCAGGTTTTTGTTTCTAGTTAGAGTTGATTTTTTTATCCCACCAAGAAGAAAACTGATGTTGCTGCTTGACTCGTGTGCAGTGTTTCAAAGTAGCCTCTCTGCTTTTCTACCCAGACGTCTGGAGCAGAATGGCATCAAGTCGGTTCCCCCAGGCGCCTTCACATCCTACAAGAAGCTCAGGCGAATGTGAGTGCTCCTACAAAGCTTCATATCATCATACTTGCAGTTAAACACTTCCAAGTGTCAGTTCAAATTGAAATAACACTAGCAAAGCTTTCTATTGAATTTTAAATGTTTATTACAACAAATCAATGAAGGACTAAGATCACGGAGGGGATCAATAAGGGAGCAATCAAAAGAAGCTTTTTCTATATATTTTAAATCTGTCCTGGATGCCGACTGCCATCGAAAAGGTGATAAATGGATGGAAATTCATTGAAGAAACACACTGTCGACTACTTTTTGCAGTGATCTTGGCGTTGAGGACTTTAATATGAGAATCAAACCAGCTCTACTGGCCTCATACTGGTTTTAATGTGGTAAAATGTCAATAATGGACTGGTTCTGGTAATAAGGTTAAATACACTCACTGGGCACTAAGAGCACTTTTTAAAATACAAATCACATTCACCCACTCACACAGGCATTTAGTGCTTTGTTCTGTTGCCTTGATTTTTCTAACACATGTACACACTACCAGTCAAAAGTTTGAGAACACCCCGAGTTTTCCTGTTTTTTATTGAAACTTATACAGTTTAATGTCTCATTGCACTCTGAAATGAAAGCAAAGTACAAATAAGCAATTGAGTTAAAAAAGAACAACTTCCATTTATGTTCCTTTTATGTTTATGTTAACTCTGTATGGACAGCTAGATGCTGAAGTATGATAACTGTAACACTTGCAGTCATTCCAGTGTTGTTCCAAAAACAATACAAAATAAAAACACCGGCCCACTTTAACCCCTGACTATGGCACACGGTGTTGCCTCTTTGATGTTTTTTTATGCCACTTTCCCTGGTGATTAATACACAAACGAGACTGAGTGTTACTGTTTAGGCTCAAACAGGTTTGATGTTTTAAGACTCGCAGTGACATAAAGTAACGACTCCCCTCAAATATGTCAAACTGAAAGTAATGAATCTGTTTTCAAAATGTAAGGAGTAGAAAGTACAGATACCTGAAAATTTGACTTACAGTACAGTAATAAAGTATTTGTACTTTGTTACTTCCCACTGCTGATCAGCCACTGGCCCCCTCCTAAACCATACCTGCACACACGTGACCCATTTTAGTCCACTTCATTTAACTTTTTTTTTTGCTCCACCTTTCTTTGTGCAGAGTACTTTTAAAGTCAGCTATGCCAACTGCAGCAGGCTACAGAAGCTCCTGCCCCTGAGCTCCAAATCAGCCAAAGCCATTACATTTTTTCTGCCTCCAGAGGGACAATGCTTCAGGGAAAATTTTAATGTTCTAGAGTCTGATTTGCCAAGTGGATCTCTCTTTTCTTCTGTCTCCACCGCTCGCTGAGCTGTGGGTTTCCTGCTCAACAGAACATACAGCCCCAGTGGAGTTTCAGCATCGAGGAGCATTTGATTTATATCAGCCTGCAAAGACACAGAGTCCTCATTAGAGGCTTTTTAGGGCCCTTACATGATACATCAAGTGCATATCCATGTGATGTGATGTATATGTTTAAAAAATGCTAATCTGACCACAATAATAATGTTCCTGGCTTCTTGACCTTCTGTTTCACTTTTATTTCTGTCTTCTGTCTTTGCGGTTTTTGTTACTTCCACTGTTGCTGTTTTTCTCTTCTTCCTCTTCTTCCTTTGCCCATTTCCCCCCTCAGGCATTCTGTCTCTCTCCATCTTTTTCTCTCTGTGGTTTTCCTTTTCCTCTTAATCTTATCCTCTTTCCCCTCCTTTGCCCTCTTCCATCATCACTGCGAGACCATCCCGAGCACCAGGAGGGAGGGAGGGGGGTTTGATTACATTACCAGGCAGGTTTAAGTGGTTCGTCTGAAAATTTATCATGACAACTGAACGACTGACGTGTGGCAGCAGAACAAGGATTTTATAATCTAACATATTATGGTTTAGCATGCCAGACCGAATCAAAGATATAAAAACCTCAACTTGGCCAGAAAAATAGCTCCTCTGTTCTGACATGAAAAAAGTGAAGTTCTCTTCAGTCGATTCAGAAAGTGAGGTTTCTTATTTTTATAGGTGATTTTTATATAACCTGCTTTCATTTAGAGATCAGAAAAGAGAACTGTTAAAGTGCTGCATCACTTTTTTGCCTTTAATCCTTTAAAAAATAACACAAATTATTTGCTATGTACATATGATGCTTTTGGCTAAATGCGTTTACAACAAAACAAACTCTGTTTTTTCATTTTCTCCCCAAAATAAATCGAATCACTAAGTATTTAAAAGCGTTGGGTATTCATTGTCTTTCATTCCCAGTGACCTGAGCAACAACCAGATATCTGAGATCGCTCCTGATGCTTTCCACGGCCTCCGAGCTCTCAATTCACTGTGAGTAAGCACTCTGCATCTGATTGTGTAAACTGTTGGGTGTGTTGAGAGTGCCAACACGTGTTTACATGTGTCTGTCTACTTTATTGGCTATATCTCCATATGTGCCCACTGCGTCCATGTGTTTAAGCATCTGTTGGTATGAATAATTTAAAAGTGGCGCCTGCTCACTGTACAGAGAATTCTCATGAAACATCAGGACATGCAAACAATCACAGCAGGCGGTCGGCCAGCATCATTGCTGAGTGTGTGTATGTGTGAATATGTTTGCGTGCATATACTATACACGACAGCAGTGTGATGTAAATGTCTTCTGAATAAGACTTACTTTTGTGTTGGCGATGCAAATTTTGGGGCGATCGTGGCTCAGAGTTGGCATTTCTTCTTGTAACCGGAAGGTTGCCGGTTCGAGCCCCGGCTCGGACAGTCTCGGTCATTGTGTCCTTGGGCAAGACACTTCATCTGCCGCCTACTGGTGACGGCCAGAGGGGCCGATGGCGCGATATGGCAGCCTCGCCTCTGTCAGTCTGCTCCAGGGCAGCTGTGGCTCCACTGTCGCTGCCTCCACCAGTGTGTGAATGTGAGAGTGAATGATTAGTGGAATTGTAAAGCGCTTTGAGGGCCTTGAAAAGTGTTATATAAATCCATTATTATTATTCAATTTTGAACAGATGCGTCTTAGTAAGTGTTAACAGACTGATGAAGCACTTTTGATTGCAGAACACAGTTAAAGACTTTTTTTGCTTGTGTGCAGAGTTCTGTATGGCAATAAGATCACTGAGCTGCCCAGCGGAGTGTTCGATGGGCTGGCCTCTCTGGAGCTGCTGTAAGTCCAAACCACAACATGCATATATTTGTCTGAACTGACTGTGTTTTAAACAAATCCATATGTAGTTTTTGCTAAGTTAATTATGTAAATCTGCTTGTCATAACTGACTTGAATGCCCCCTTTGGTAAAACACTGCTGTACCTATGATGAAGTAGGTAAGGTACCACGAACGAGGTAATTAAGGGAATCATTTGATAATAGTCGAGAGGTGGAGCTCAGTATGATGACTGAATAATCTGACAGTTGTCGTCTTTCCTGAACATTATTTCATTTTTTTTTTTTTTTTAGTAAGTATTTGAAGATTCCTTGTGGTAATGTTTAAAACCACTGGAACCAGTGACAAAAAGGAAATGGAGAGGAATCTGAAAGTTAGGGACAGACTAATCCTCATTCTGGAGACATATGCATAGACTTCAATGTAGTTTTGTGGAAAAAAAATACTGTGTGTGTCCACACATCTGCACAAAATCCTATTTTAAAAATCTCAGTCATTTTGTAATTGTACAAATGTGCATTTTTATCCATGACACTCACAAGAACAACAAAGAAGTTTTAAGGAGTTTTACATCAGGCTCCTGGTGTAATTTAACATACCTCCCTCCTTGTTTAGTTTCTTATTTTGGAAAATTCAGGGCTCCAATTCTGGGCATAGAACACAAAATAGCACTGCAGCAGTTTTGTTTTTAAAATGTTTTTAATAATAAGAGATATTCAGATGCTGGTGATGAATCAGCTCATCATGATTATGTACACTACTATAGAAAAGTCTTGTTAAGCCACTAAGCCCCA